ATAGGATATATGTGTGTGTGCGTGTGTGATTTGGTTTAGATTTTGTTGGTTTGGTTAATCAACGGGTGATGTTAGTTTTAGGTAAAAAATGTGTCTGCGCTCCGACACTACCAATCAGACAGGATGAGCCGTATAGGTGGCAGCACGTGATGATCGTTAGGTTAAAGTCACGTAACAAATAACACAAGATAATGCAACGCAATGACACCTAATTAGAGCTCCGATGTTCGTCTGCTTGTCAGGTTACCGGAGCAACCAACGACGCCGGGCGGGTAATTAACGGTTAACCTAACAGAGAAAAACATTGATGTCCACCGCTTACTTTCCTTCTCATGTACAAGTAACAAAGATGGCCACTGTGTGCTCTTTTCTTCGCGCACAAAAACACAAATATGGCGGCCGCTTACTCTCTTTCACACGTGTTCAAAAAACACAAAGATGGCGGCCGCTTATACTTTCTTCCTCGAGCACAAAAACACAGATGGCGGCCGCTTATACTCTTTCTCGCGTACAAAAACACAAAGATGGCGCGCTTACTCTCTTCCTCACGCAGGTTCTGTCCCATGCACTGCAGCACGGCTCTCAGATCTGTCGGACTGATGTACCCGTGACCACTCTTGTCAAATACCTGCCGCGACAAAAATAACAAGTCACGATTAAAGCGATACATCAATCAATAATATATCATGATAGCAGGAGTACAAGAATAGAGGGATGAATAAATCTCTCTATTCATGCACTCCTGATAATACTACATTAATCGATAATCGTTAGTCAATCGAATCTACTACATTAATCGAAACTACATTAAACGAAATACTACATTAATCAATAATCGATAGTCAAACGAAGCGACCTGGGGCGTCGGTGGCGCCACCACCGCGAATCTTAACCGATTATTTCACTGATCGATCGATATATAACTTGCGCGTACCCTTCAGCAGTACACCCTCTGGTGAGCTGTCATGGGGACTCGTGTTGCATGTGTGTGTGGTGGTGGGGGGGAGAGGCTTTGCGTGCGGAGATCTTAATTACCTTTGCGCGTACGTACGAACATTAATTTTTGCTCTTAATTTTGTTGGCCGGCGGCCGTAGATCCGGGTTGATCATGGCAGATCATGGCCAGAATTCGCATGGATTTGTGTGAATTAGGAAGCATGCGGCGTTGTGTGAGAATTCGCTAACTACTGGGCCTCGGGTTATCCAGCCGCGAAAACGTCGGCGGCGACTGAAATTAACTGTCACCTGATTGCTGTGAGAGAGATTAGACGCTAACGAACTGTCGCCACCGGAAGTCGTCCGGGTGGGTCACGGTCGACTGCGCGCGCAATATCCGGCCGTTAGCGCGCGCCGGAAACCGGAAACGGAAGCATGTGACGCGGGAAGAAGGGAATCAGCGACGCGTATAAAAGCTAGCGTTAGTTAGCAAATCACAGCGTGATAGTCTCGGCGGTCACGTGACAACGACGAGAGAGCGGGGACGGGCGGGGGCGGTTGGGAATCGGGAGAGATGACGTGAACCGCATAGATATCCTACATCGTCTAATAACACATATAATAAGGATATAAAACAGGATATAAAACAGCATCACAGTACATATACCACTGCATATATAACACACGCGTGTCATCTCGCTCTCGCTCTCGCGCTCTCTCTCTCTCTCTCCACCATTGGTGACAGGAGGGAGGGGGGGGGGTTTCATCAAGTGACGTCACCAGATATATTATTTTCGAGTGGAGTGTTTCAATATGATAACATATAGGAATGTTTTGCGAATTTGGTAAACATGTAAATAGTTTAGACCAATAATGAAGCTCACCGACGGCTATACGTTTAGCAAGTAAAGGTGACAAGTCATTGTGTAGAATAAGAAAATTTAAATGGCTGACGAGTTCAACAAATCATCAAACTTTGTTTGCGATTTTGAGTGGGGTCTGCCAAGAATGGTGAGCGTCCCATGTGGGGGTCTCGAATTATGACACTTGTGACAGCGCGGGGAGGGGAGTCAAAACGTCCAAAATCGAGGTGACGTCATTTGTGAACGCTCTCTTAGAGGCGTCTGCTCCCAGGATCGCCTGCGCCCACGACAGTGGTGCGTGTAGATGTGCGGTTTGCTCGTTGTTTGATGTCGTTACTGTGGTTACTGGAGTAGCGTCAGTGGATGAGGATTGATTAGACACACAGAAGCAATCCGCGTCGCTGTTTCCCCAATATCGGTATGATCACTAGACTGTGTGTGTGTGGTGTGTGTGTGGTGTGTGTGGTGTGTTGTGTGTGTGTGTGTGTGTGTGTATGTGTGTGTGGTGTGCGTGCGTTTGTGTGTGTGAGTGTGTGTGTGTGTATGTGTGTGTGTGTGGGTGTGTGGTTGTGTGGTCTGTGTGCGTGCGTGGCGTTTGTGTGTGTGTGTGTGTGTGTGTGTGTGTGGTTATGATGTGTGCTGTTGTTTGTGTGTGTATTGTGCTGTGCGTGCGTTGTGTGTGTGTGTGTGTGTGTGTGTGTGTGTGTTGTGTGTGTGTGTGTGTGTGTGTGTGTATGTGTATGTGTGTGTGTGCGTGTTTGTTGTGTGTGTGTGTGTGTGGTGTGTGTGTGTGTGCGTGCGTGCGTTTGTGGTGTGTGATGTGTGTGTGTGTGTGTTGTGTATGTATTGTGTGTGTGCGCTGTGTGTGTGTGTGTGTGTGTGTGTGTGTATGTATGTGTGTGCGTGTTTTGTGTGTGTGTGTGTGGTGTGTGTGTGTGTCGTGTGTGTGTGCGTGAAGTTGTGGTGTGTGTGTATGTGTGCTGTGTGCGTACAGCGTTCATGCTGTGTGTGTGTGTGGTTGGTGTGTGTGATGTGTATGTTGTGTTTGAGTGTGTGTGTTGTGTGTGTGGTGCGTGTTTTGTGTGTGTGTGGTGTGTGTGCGTGCGTTTGTGTGTGTGTGTGTTTGTGTGTATGTGTGTGTATGATGGTGCGTGTTTGTGTGTGGTGTGTGTGTATGTGTGCGTGTGTGCGTGCGTTTGTGATGTGTGTGTGTGTGTGTGTGTGTATGTGTGTGTGTGAGTGTGTGTGTATGTGTGTGTGTGCGTGTTTGTGTGTGTGATGTGGTGTGTGTGCGTGCGTGCCGGTTGTGTGTGTGTGTGTGTGTATTGTGTGTGTGTGAGTGTGTGTGTAATTGTGT